CCCCCCCCCTCCCCCGGCGGCAGGGTTGCCGTGCGTGGGTGTTGCTCTTGTGCCTTTACCGACGTTATCTGCTTGAGCAATATGCCGGCCGACACAATGGCATGGAGCAGGGAGGCGTGTTTGGCCGGTTAAACGTTTCGAACCTTGTCCCGCCGCACCATGGTCATCGTTGTTGTCCCGGGTGCTCCTGTGGTTCCCCCCCATGCGATGCGTTTCTTTGCCTGTGTTTACCTGATTGACTACAGCCGTGGAAGGCCCTCAACAACGCCGGTATGCACCCGGCGCATCGACCGGCACCATTCAACTGACAGGATGATGCAGTCTGCCAACCAATTTCAACGGCTCTATACAGGGCCGGCGGCGGTAAGTAGCAATGCTGACCCCCCTCCACTGCTGTATCAACCGCTGCAGGCCTTGCTGACGATGACGTGGAGGCTGACGGCGGAGGCGGTGCTTGGAGAAGAAACCAAGCGGTACCCGCGGGGGAAAGCCCACGCTGGGCGGGCGGCGCGGACGATGGGCCTGGTGACAGCAGCGGACATCGTCGGGATATTGTGCGGAACACGTCGTACATGCCGCGCCACCACAAGTCGGAGGTATGTGCTACAACATGGGGGGGGGCGGGGGTCGTGCAGTAGGTGCCACAGGGGTGGGGTACAGTTTTTCGTCTTGTGGCTTGTTTAGAAAATATTCATACAATCAAGGAAATATGACCCGTTCGATATATTACGACAGTCGCAATATGTAGTAGCTTGTTAAGCGAGGGTATTAACTTGCTCTGTAGACGTACATGGCTACCTGCGGTTTATTACTTCATGTTTTGCTTGTCTCTAGCGTTAGGAGGTGCGTGAAAGGGCCACTAGAGCCAACCTCATACTGCCCTCAACGCGTGCGCGGAGGCCCTCACGAACCACTCATGCTGTGCCGGGAGCCATCGATTGCACAACGTCTTGATCGCTTTGGAATACGCTCAGAGGCAAGGGTGTACAAGCCTCAACCGCTTCTCCTGTCCCTCCACCGATCGTCGGGCGTCTCGACCCACCAGGTTAACCCGTTCATCAACCTGACGATGCACCTCCCATGGTACCAGTACCTTAAGATGGTGATCGTGGGCGTCACCATACTGCCGTTCCGCATCTTGCTCACCTTCGTCAACGTGTTCTTCATGTGGTGCTTCGCCACTCTGGCTCTGGCGGGACTGTCAGGTACGTTCCTGATTGGACGCGACCTTCCGACGTGGAAGCAGGCGTACCGCAGTGGTTTCTCTGCCCGAAGCATTGATCAAGAAATATGTCGTCGTGTCGAAGTTCGAGGACGGTCAGTGACTTAAGAAACGCTCCCTGAGGACACGGCTTATTTCCATCGCTGCCCGCTGATCCGTGGAAAGGAAAACGTCGCCTTTGCTATCGTGACGTCAGTGTGCTCGATGAACAGCAGTAGACTTCATGCGTGTCACATGACGAGGAGAAGCGCCGATGATACCGCCGCCGTGTTGATAGCCTTGTTACCCACCATCAACTACCTTTCTGTGTTAACCGTCGTCCCGTCGTTCCCTTTGGACTCCACGCTATTTCCTGCCGTCGTTTTTTTTCTGTTTTATTTCCCAATGTGATCATGTCCTTCCGTCTCCGGTGTGCCGACTCCTCCATAGCCACCGAAAACGGTGCCCCATTCCTCGTCCTCTTGGTCTCATTTCTCCTCCTGTTATCGCTCCATTGTTTTGTGGGCACGAAATCATCGGATACGATAAAAGAGGAGGGCCGAGAAAAGCCCTTCAGCAAGTGGCGGCGAGCGCTGAAGCACCCCATCTGCTGGTGCCTTCGATTTCAGTGCACGCTCTTCGGCTTTTGGTGGATTTCGGTGAGAGGCGTTCTTCGGGAATTGGAGCGTAATTGGGGTTGGTTGTCTTCAGCGAAAACTTGGACCTTTGGGAGATCTTGATGATGTTCCGACTGGTGAATGCGTGGGGAAAAGCTTGGTGCTTGCGTGCACGGGTTAAAGCACACTCCGTTTCGCCGACCTTTTCCTGTTTTTGTTGTTGATGGTACGGCGGTACTGCGGCGAGAATTGTTGGTCGCGTCCAGGCAGCAGTAAACAAATGGCCGGTCGTCAGGGGTGCGTATCGACACTAACGCCAACGACAACTGCATAGGAAAAACTGTTTGGCGAGATAATGCGCGGAAAAGCACGTAGAGACGGGACGTGGGGTTGGATCAGGCAGAAGTTAACCGCGGACGGCATGCAGCATCAACGACGAGGCGACCAACAACGATGAACACACCTACGCATGCACACCAAACAGGTGAAGGGGGAGTGCGCCGATAAGGAAGATGCCCCGATAATTGTGTCCAATCACGTCTCGCCTTTCGAGCCGTTCTACCTCGTCAGCAAGACGCAGGCCACTCCGGTGCAGCGGATAGAGGATTCGCGAGCACCGATCGTGGGGACTATCCAGAAGGCCATGCAGGTAGGGGTCGCTGCGTCTGTTTCTGGGGAATGAGCTGCAGGGGCAACCAAAATACTGGATATTTTCCTGCAACATCAACAACACATGCATGCGTTCCAATACTTGTTCAGTATGGATGGCCTCGACGCTTTTGTTGACTGTTTGGTTGTTTGTATTGCGTGTATCTTTTCTGTTTTGTTTGCTGCTGGGCGGTAGGTGACGTCTCTCCATTTTTTCTCTTACTCTCACCTCGTTTCCACGCCCCTATTCTGCTACCGCTGCTGTCGCTGTGGTTTCGTCTGTTTTGCAGATTATGTTTGTTGATCGGGCTAACCCTGCGTCGAAGAAGAAATGTCTCCAGGTGAGAAAGCAGCGTTGGCCCGCGAGCAAGGCCACGGGGGGGAGGGGGGGGGGGGGG